CAACCTAAATGCAATCTAAGTCTAAAAGGAGAAGAAAATGGGACTAAAGAGAAGGAAAACATGCAAAAGAGAACCAAAACATGAACTAAATGCAAGCCTAAATGATGTAAATGCATGAGATATCAACACCCCCACACTTGCCTTTTGCTTGTCCTCAAACAAACAAGCTAAGACAAATGAAGGATGAGGTTTAAAAGTGGGTATTCAAATCCAAAAGTGCAAAGGTAAAGAGATGGAGTCAACACTTAAGTGCCTAGTTGTAGGATGCGAACACAATCATCTATACTTTAAAGAACCTCGCCATGCTCATGATGTTTCAAAATGATCTCAAATCTCAACCTAAACAAATGCTCTAATCAATTCAACTCTTTAACATTCATTAAAACTTGTAACCATGAATCCTGTTTATGCAAATCAAGTGAAGACATTTAGTTTTAAGGGTGAGGTTATGAGATTAAAATGATCTCATTCAAGCAAAGGGTTTATAAACACAAGGGATCACTCAATGAAAATGATTTCATATTAGGCAAAATGCTAAAGGTAAAAGTACACTTATGCATGCAAATCAAATCTCTCTTCTACCCTTTTACCCAAAGATGAATCCTAAAAACTTCTAAACCCCAAAGCGAAACCCTAAGTCTACCCTTTTCCTAAACTCTAACCCTTCTTCTTCTTCATGGCTGGAGAAACTTCTTCTTTTTTGCTTCTGTGGCTGCTTCCTTTTGCTGGGACTTGCTCATTTTTGTAGAATTAGCGTTATTTTCACCTTTGGTGGATTGCCTTGGGTTTGTTACTTCTTGTGATTGACCTTTCAAAGCCTTGTTGTTGGCACATTCCTTCTTTGAACACTTAGAGGTTTTTCTTCCTTATACTTAATAACATCTAGACTTGTTTCTCCATACTACCATTTCAAACTTTTCCTTTTTCTCCAAACTCCTGACCTAGAATCAAGCTAAAAATGCAAGCTGATATCTACAAGAGAGCTTTTTATTGTCAGCCTTATTCCTAACATTTTTTGCCAAGACAAAATTCAAAAATGATATTCAAAGGCCTCACAACTCCCAAGATAGTATTTAAGCTTAGAAGGAGGTTTGGTTAAGGGAGTGGATTAATTGTCCCATAAGTTTGAGGATCAGCTATTTGGATCAACAAGAGTGGTAAGAAGAGAAAAAATGATCCAAATATATATATGGTAGCCATGAATTCACTTTTCAATGCACAAACATGGTAATTAACAAATCAGATTAAGGTTCACGTTGATAGAGACGATTTTCAGAGAACAAATGCTTTCAGTATGAGATGAGAAGATCAAATTTAGCAATTCAAGAATGGTTCAGCCTTAACTTCTAGCTTTCTCATGATGCATCAAACAACTAACCACTTAAACATTGAAATCATCTCTAAACTATAAGCACTTTACAAGGAAAATTTATCATTATGCCCTATGCAAATGCAATGCATCCTCTATGCAAACACTAGACTCAATCCTAAGCAAATGAAATGCAACTATATGCTTTCTTTTTGGTTTGCAAAAACATGCAAAAATTTTCAAATTTTTCGATTTTTTGTGTTTTTTATGCCTTAGATGAATGCATGATATGCATGTGACTAAAGATGAGAGAAAATGAAAAACTATGAAAAGAACAAACATGTCAAACCCCATATCTCTCCCCTACAGTTAAATTACACAGTCCCTTGTGTAATAAAAGGAATGAGAGAGAACAGTAACAGAAATATAATACAAAAAAAAAAAAAAGATGCAATGATATGCAATGGTAAGGATATGATAGCTTAATTGTTGTAGGAGGAGTGGTGGGATGATCCAGACGTCTCTAGCTGTGGAGAATGACTTGCCGGACCATCGGTCACTTAAGACCGATGGTGGTGACCGATAGAGGGGGCTATCGATCACTTTGAGACCGATGGCTCTCCTGCTCAATCCCATCGGCCACTTTTGATCGATGGTGGTGACTGATGGTATATCCGCTCGATTCCCATCGGTCACTTTCTGATCGATGGTAGTGACCGATGATGCATCCGCTTGGTTTCCATCGATCACTTCCTGACCGATGGCATGATCGATAGGGTCCTATCGGTCACTTCCTGACCGATGGCCTTGACCGATGGAAACCATGCCTTGCACTTTTTTGTTTCCCCAAACACTTTCTCAAGCCCCAAACCGAACTCCTATTTCTAGAGACAATAAAATGCATAAAAATGAACTAAAAAGCATAATATTTACAAAGAAAACCATGGGACTACCTCCCAAGTGTGCTTGTTTAGAGTCACTTAGCTTGACTTTGATTACCTCACTAATGGAGGTGAGGAGAAGGAGTCTTGAAACTCCTTGGTGTCATCTTGCCTCATTTGACTCTTGTGGTGGCTCCATTCAGCTTAATCTTAGCGAAAGGCTTGGTCTTCCCCTCTTGCTGCATCTTGTAGCAAACCTCACCATTCTATGACCCATATGGTTGCAAAACCACCTCTCCCTTTTCAGTAACCAGCACAATTTGATTCAGCTTCTTCAAACTAACCACTAGGAGGACCTCCTCTTCAGTGGATTCATCAAACAGGCTTCACAAGCAACAACCATCAAAACTCTCTCATTGGTAGCCCTCAAACTCTGGACAGTTCTTGTCAACACCTTTCATATTGTTCAGCTCCATGGAGAAAGTTTGTTCATGCTCCAGCTTGTTATCCTTGCTGTCAAACTTCAAGACCTTATCCTTAGTGAGTTTAAGCTCTATGGTGCAAGCTTTGGCATCAAACATAGCACATGCTGAAGCTAGAAATGGTATTCCAAGTATGGTGGCATTCTTGATCTTGCCTTCAACATCCAAAACCAGGAAATCAGTTGGGATAGTCACTCCTTCTATCTGCATAGGGACGTCCTTCAAGGCTCCTAGTGGTGACTTCACAGTCCCATCAGCAATGGTTAGAGACACATTACTTTACTGGAACTTGGTGTAACACAACTCCTTGGCTGTAGAGGATTGCAACAGGTTTATGCTAGCATCTAGATCACAGAGACGGCTCTTTGAAGTCTTGCCTTTGAGTTCACATGGGAGTGTGAAACAGCCAGGATCTCCAAGCTTTTGATGCTTACCTTTTTTTCCTCAACCTTGGAAAGTGCCACTTTCAACCCTTCTTCAACATCAAGACCTCTCATCTCCATTTGAGCAGCATAGAGAGTTGCATACTTTTTGACTAGCTGCTCCTTCAATCTTCCAGGAAATGGGATATCAGGCAGGTAGATAGGAAGAACAGCAGCTAGAGTTTCCTTCTTAACATCAGAGACCTCAACAAGGTGACGCCCACTTCTCTTCTTCCTTGTTGGCTCCTTTTTCAAGAGAGTTCTCCATAGTGGCATAAGCTTCAATAAGCTCATCTCCCCCACTCTCAATGTCAATGTCCTCATTGATTAAGGAAAGGAAGTCTTCAATGATAGCTTCTTCTTCAAGAGGAGTAAAGGCAACGACAGACTCAACAGCTTGGCAATACTTATTGGTGGTCTCTAAGGTCTGTATCCTTGAATCCAAATCATCAAACTTGGTGTTGAACTCATCATGAACAGAGTTTATCTTGTTGTGCAACTCAGCAAATCTCTTGTTCATCACCAATGTTTCAAGGAGTTGTAAGTTGAGGATTTCAATGAGCATTCTCTTGATATCAGCTGGACTAGAGGTGCAATCATTGAAGTGACTTTGATGGAGGGAAAGAGGGGGCACAAAACGTGGGTGGGGATTGTAGCTGTCTGAAAAGTAGTTCATAGGCAGAAGCTCTTGGTTGAAGTTGTTGCACCTTCGATTCTCAAAACAGAGCATCTTCTCTACTTGGAGATCCTCACCTAAAATGAAAACAATTGGAAGGGAGTGAGTAACCAAATAAAACTAAAAACTTGATCTTAAAAGTTTCACAAACTCTAATAATCCAAACAATAAACCTCTCCCCCAGCAACGGCGCCAAATTGATACAGGAGTTTTGACCTCTTATGTAAATCATCCATTATACTAGTTAGTTGTAGTATTTGAGTTTTATGTCAATCTAAGGGGAGTTGAGTTGAATAACAGAAGAGATTCAAATAGAAAGCTCTAAATCAGGTGAAACAGAGAGGATTGTATTGCAAAGCAACCAAACTAACAACCTAAGATGATAAAACACCAACAGAACTCAAAGAGAACACTTAGCAATGATCATATGAAGCAAAAACAAAGTAATTGGCAAATTCAAAATTCAAATAAAGAGAAGACAAGTTCCTAGATATGGTTATTGACTTTGAGGAATTCAAAGGCTAACTAAGGTTGTACAAACATCACTGATTAAGCAGACAAGCTATCAATGCTGATTCCTAGACATAGAGTTCATAACAAGCAAGTTAAGTCCAATCTCTTGGCAAATAACACTTTGCTAATCACCCTAACAAGAACTAATTCTCATTAGTGCAAGAACAATCAACAAGTATGAATAACCAACTCTATTCAAGTCAAAATACTCCTCAAACAGTCAATCTCTTGAACTAGGGCCAGTAAATCCTCTATTAACCAAGATCAGCATTTCATCAACCACTTGGTGGACATAAAATGAAGTCTAGGTCTAGATTCATGTGATCAATACAAATTTTGCTTAAGAACAGATTAATAGAAAGAAATCGATCATATTAAATACTAACAAACTCTAATCAAGCCTCTAAATTCACTACAAAAAAACATGGACATCGCGACTACGGAAATAGTTGCTAATCAGTTGGAAAACAAATTTTTGCGACTAATTTACAACTAAAATAAGTAATCTCTAATATTTCATCGCTAATACTAATAGCTAATTAATCACAAAATAGGGACTAATTAGCAACTACATATATGCTGAGTAAACAGTTGCAATTTAATCACAAAATTTAGCGACTGTTTTGCAACTATCTATAGCTCTTTTCGTTAAATATATAGTCATTAAATAGTCGCTAAAACTGCAATTACTTTGCGACTTTTAGTAACTTGTTTACTGGCTAATTGAACCATTAAAATAGTAAATTTATATTTATATTACGACGACTGTTTTAAAAATTAATTAATAAAAAAAAATTTAAATCCTTTTTTAATATTAATAATTCTTTGGGCAGTCCAACAAAAACCCTTAATGGGCCTGGAAGGCTAGGATTCAATGTACCCCAAACCTAACCAATGAAACCGACGGCTAACCCTAATAGCTAACCGATCGCCTAAACTAAACCTAACCGACTGCAACCCTAACAACAGCCACAAAATGCCTTCGCCGCCGCCGGGAACCAAAGCAAAGATCTCCCCCGGCTCAGAAAACCGCCGCAGGAGACAAACCAACACAAGACCACTGCAACGCCAGGCTTGGGAAGAAACACCCTTATCACAACCAAACCTATACACAGAGATAAAACAAACAGAATAAAATATGGAAGTAACAAGCAGAATCAGAAAACAAGCAGAAAGAAGTGTGAATACTCAAAGGAAAGAAGAGCTTACCTTGAGGATTCAAAGAGCTTGGCATTTGAGGTTAAGGGTTCTGTGGTGGACGCGTGGAGTTGTCGTCGAGAAGCCAGACGTGGAGTTGAGTTTGGGTGAGAGGGGGACGCCATGGCGGGGAGAGGTCCGGAGCCGGAGTGAAATTATACTACTGCGGTAGCTGTGGAGATGTGGAGGGGTTCGACCCATCGGAGAAAGAGGACTGTTTTAGGGTTTTTTTGATTTGAGAAGAAGAAGTAGAATCAATCGATATAGGAAGAAGAAGAAGAAGAAGAAGAAGAAGATTCAATCGGAGCAGGAAGAAGATGGTGGAGTTGGGATTTGCTTTTGACGGAGCACACGAGACAATGAAATTTGCCACTGGAAAATATTTGGGTTAATATTGGGTTTGGGTTTTAATGTTGGGTTTAGGTTTGAGATTTTAAACAATTTGGAAAGTTGATAAATTTAGTTAATCATTTAGATAATTACATTGTTAATTATTAGTTTAATTTAGATTGTTAATTATTAGTTTAATTTAGACTGTTACTTATTATGCAAATCAATATAAGTAACATAATTATGTTTAGTTATGAGAAACAGAAAAATAAAAACAAAACCAAGAATTTTTAAATAAGTTACAAGTGTTAAAAAAAAAAGTTATATCATTTGATGTTTATGTTTAAAAGTTTATAACTAAAGATTTAGAGTTTATGATTAAAAGTTAGAGGTTTAGAGCTTAAGATTAAGGTTTAGGGTTTGGAATTAAGAGTTTAGGATTTGTTTAAAGTTATGGATTTAAGTTTTAGGATTTGGGGTTTTAAATTTATAATTTAGAAAATATTAGATTTAAAATATATTATCTTTAGGGTTACTTTGGAATACAATATATGTTAATATTTAAAATTTGTTAAAAGTGATTAATTTTTTTTGTATATTACTTGTTGTTTAAGTTTAAGAATTATGATTTAACATACAAAATATGATTATAGATTAAGTTTTGTATATTATTTGTTGTTTAAGTTTAAGAATTGTTTGTTCGTAAATTAGTAGCAAAACCGTCGCAGTTCAGTCGCAAATTTACGACTATATTACGATTATTTATATCAGTCGCAAATTAGCGACTGATTTACAACAACAATGGTTTAGTTGTAAATTAGTAGTAAAACCATCGCAATTCAGTTGCAAATTTGCGACTATATTGCCATTATTTTTATAGGTCGCAAACTAGCAACTGATTTACGACAACAATGGTTTGGTTGCAAATTAGTAGCAAAATCGTCGTAATTCAGTCGCAATATTTTGCGACTACATAATCGGTCGCAATATGCAGTCGCAAATTTGTGACTATTTACATCAGTCGCAAATTAGCGACTGGCTTGCGACAATAATGATTTGATCACAAATTAGTAGCAAAATCGTCGCAATTCAGTCGCAATATTTTGCGACTACATAATCAGTCGCAACATGCAGTCACTAATTTGCTGTTTTCTTGTAGTGATTTCCCTAATCTACCAAATCTAGAAACCCTAAGATGATTACTCACTAATCACCATAGTAAACATCAAATTACAAAGGGAAAAGATGATAATCATGATTAGAAATGAGATTAAGAGAAGATTAAAGACAAATACAAACTTAGATTCAGAAAAGCTGGAAGTGTTTACAAACCCAAAAAATTAAAGCAAGAACAGAAACTGAATAAATCTCAGAACAAGCTATTTATACTAAAAGACAAATGTCCTAACATAATGGCAAAATGGTAAATAAAAGCAAGTTCAGACTGGGATCCCATCGGTCATATCTTGACCGATGGTCCTGAGGTGAGTGACATGTGGTATGCTCGCTGGGTTTCCATCGGTCACTCCCTGACCGATGGTCCTGGGGTGAGTGATCGGTGGTATGCTCGCTTGGTTTCCATCGGTCACTCCCTGACCGATGGTCCTGGGGTGAGTGATCGGTGGTATACTCGTTGCATTACCAGCGGTCACTCCTTGACCGATGACCTTCAAATCTTGACTGATGGCCTTCAAATCTTGACCGATGGGCTTCCAGAGGTTGCTTCCCTTGGCTCATTTTGCTCTTCCTTGGCTTGGCTAGCCTCCAGATCCACTCCCACACTTTCTCCTTGCTCCATTCAGCTTCATAAGTACCTAAAAACATCCTTGATGCATGGAAAATGCAAACTACAACCTAAATACAATCTATGTCTAAAAAGGAGAAGAAAATGGGTCTAAAGAGAAGGAAAACATGCAAAAGAGAACCAAAACATGAACTAAATGCAAGCTTAAATGGTGTAAATGCATGAGATATCACTTCCTAGATCTCCCAACTTCCTTGGTTCTTCCTTTCTTTGAATAATAGCACTACATTCTATGAAAGAATCACCATCCCCTGTAGCTCTTTAATTCTCTTTAATACTGCATCTTTGAGAAACTTCTGATAAGGAGGGAGCAGCATAAATGCATCAATTAGAGGCATAGTAATTCTATATTCTCAGTCTGCTCATCAAACAAGGCTTGATACTTTTCAACCAACTGCTTCTTAAACCTTCCTGGAAATGGCAAAGGAGGCTTGTAAGGTGGAGGTGTGAAGACCACTTCTTTGATTTTTGGGGTCTCCTTAGCTTTCTAAGCAGCCACGGCCATGCCTTTCTTAGCTATAATCTTATTTTCATCTACCAAATCCTCTTTGTTTGTATCAACAGTCTCCCCAACCTTATCTTTAATGTCCTCATTGATGTAAGGAGGAACCTCTCTAGGTGGAAGAATTCTACCACTCCTAAGGGTGATTGCTTGAACCTGCTCTTTTTGTGGGAGATAATGGGGAGGAGTGACACTCTTAGTAGAAAGTGGACCAGCAACAGTTAACATAGCATATCTGGACTTCCCTTACCTCAAGAAAGCAAGGTTCCTTGGAGAAAATATGGGTGACAAGTACATCTACAATTTCATCCAAGAAGGTGGAGCAGCTGCAAAGATATTACTCCCAGATCTGCATCTCACATCCTTCTCCAACCCCAATATCTTTTGCCTTTGCCATTCCCCAACACCTTCTCTATCAAACTGGCGCTCCATCCTCTTACATTCACCAAGGTGCCAACACTCCTCTTCCTCAAGGAGACTATCCCCTTGTAGCTTATGAAGGAGGGCATATGGAAGAAGGAATTCAAGAAGAAGAAGAATCAGATGCTCCAAGCTACAACTGAGTACCACTTCCAGCCCCATGATGTCTCACACCAAGGAGGTCCCTTGAAGAAGGTCCATGAACACATCAACCTTTTGGGAACAAATGGAATGACAAAACCATCAAGAAGTTGGTGAAGGGGATGAAGAGCATGAAGGCTCAAATCAAGGACCTAAAGAGGAAGTATAGTGGAGCCTCTAGTTCTGCTCAGCGGCAAGAGCAAGAAGCTGAAAGCCAAGGATTGGCTAGAGCTCCTAGTAGAAGGCGTTTTTTTGCTAGTTATGAGGAAGTGAGAGCTTGGGTGCCACCAAGAGCCTCTTGTCAAGAAGCGCCAAGGAGGAGGAGACACACAAGGAGGGAGAGGCAAACTAGGAGCCACAACATTGACCTCATGGAGGTCATTTCAGGTGCCTCCCACTACTCCCACACCACCTTCTAAGGTACCAAAAACTCCACCCTTGTAAATACCATTGCATTTTTTTTAAGTTCTTGTAATACATTTCTGTTGCTTCTCTCTTTCACTCTTTTATTACACAAAGTATTATGTAATTTAAGTGTGGGGGAGGGATTTGGGGTTTGACTTTGTGTGTTTTTTTCTTAGTTTTTCTTTTTATTCATTTTTGAGTCTCATGCATTCATCTAAGTGCATTAAAAAAACAAAAAAAATTGAAAAAAATTGAATTTTTTTTCATCTTTTGCAAACCAAAACAAAAGCATATAGTTGCATTCATTCGTTTAGGATTGAGTCTAGTATTTTCCATATAGGTTGCATTGCATTTGCATAGGGCATGATGATGATAATTCCTTGTAAAATTCTAAGTGTTTAGGACTGATTTAAATGTCTAAGTGGTTAAATGTTTGACGCATCATAAGAAGTTATGAACTAAAACTGAACCATGCTCTTGAATGCTAAATTTGATCCTCTAATCGCATGCTGAAATCATTTGCTCTTTGAATATCATCTCTATTTATTAGAACCATTAATTTGAATTGTTAATTATCATGTTTTTGCAATGAAAAGTGGTTTCATGGATTACCCATATACATATTTGGACTTTCTTTCTTCTTTTTTACCTCTCTTGCTAGTCGAAATAGTTGATCCTCATCATTAAGGGAAAGTTACCACACCTTAACCCTGCCTTCCTTTCAAACCTAAACATTATCTTTTGTGTGTGAGGCCTATTTTTGAATGAACTAAGCATAAAGTGTTAGGTTGGCACTACAAGGATTGGTTACTATGTAGAACTAGCTCTCCACTTTGAGTTAGACATAGGTTTAGGATGATAGTTATAGGTCTGGGCGGATTTGGGTATTATAATGATCTAAAAGGAGAGAGTGCGAGAAGAAAGAAAGTGAAGGGAGAAAGGAATGAGAAAGAGGAAGCAAGCAAAAAATCAGCATGTGTGGAATCAAATAAGCTAAAAAAGGGTGGCCATTATGAAGATGGAGTCTCAGCAACAACAACAAAGAAGGCACCAAAGCCTAATACATCAAAAGGATGAAGAAAATGAGACTCCCCAATACAGAAAGAAGGCGTCCACAACAAAGGAGCAAAAAGAAGGCCACAACATGGTGAGATCAAAGAAGAAGCTTCCTTTAAAAATGGTAAAGTGTGGAGAATGTGAGAGTACTGAAGAAAGGGTAGTTAGGATTGAGTTTTATTTGGGTTAAGAGTTTTGGGGTTTAAAATATTCTTAGGCATTGGGTAGTTAGTAATCTATCCTTGTATGCATAAGTTGTGCTTCACCTTTAGCATTATGCCTAAGTTCATTCTTTTTTTAGAGAAACCCTTGCATTTGAACCCATATTTTGATGAGATCGTTTTTATCTCATGACCTCAACCCTTAGCCAAATAATTCCACTTGATTTTCTTAAACATGATTCACTTGGTTACAAAATTTTAATGAATGTTAAAGAGATTGACTGATCTAAGCATTTGACTAAGTTGAGCTAGAGATCATTTTGAAACTAGATAGGCATGGCTATGGTCTTTAAAGTATAACTGATTGTGTTTCGCATCCTACACTTAGACACTTAGATATTGACTTCACTTCTTTACCTTAGCATTTTTGGATTTGAGTGTCCACCTTCAAACCTCACTTCCTCCTTGTCTTTGTTTGTTTGCTTGAGGACAAGCAAAAGGCAAGTGTGGGGGTTTTGATATCTCCATTATACCATTTTAGCTTGCATTCATCATTAGTTTTACTCTTTCAACAAGAATAGTTTGCTTCTTCTTGTCCCATTTGCATACACTTAGGAGTTAGTTTAGTTTAAGGAGTTGCATTGCATTTTGCATGCATTTGGA